CACACTATGCTCAAGATTACTTTTGAAAATGACTTTCCCCTGGAGGAATTCATCCAATTAATGTTGATACTGTTCTAAAGTATCTCGATCAAACAAAACAGACTTGTTTTACTGCAAAGAGCTCCATGGAAAGGTGAAGATGTCGGAGTTTCAAGAGCTTCATAGTTTCAAAAGAAAAAAAGAGAAGTCACGGACAAACAGGAGAGAGAGAAAGAGAACACACAAAACAAAGATGGTAACAACCCCCACAGCTATAGTGAGTTAATAATCCCTTGACTAATCCTGGCTGTACTCAGGAGATTCAGGTAGTTGACTTCCTTTTTGTGCTATGTTAATACCCAAGTATACATTGACAGAGTAGAAACCCTTCAATCTTCATTTCTTATTAACTGAAGGTCAAACATTCAGATATAGATAAAAGTTTTATAAAAGACAGTGTTGTGTGCATGAACTCTTCCACTAAACGTTATTTTAGTAGACACAATCTACCAGAACTTTTTATTCATAGTAGTTAAAACTTTCAGATAGACGGATGGAGATTCACCTGATTCTTGTTCATGATGTAGAGAAATTATATTTCTGACTCATCACTTCTCACAAATCTGTATGCATCTCCCTCAGAGCCTCTCTCTGAAGCTGCACTTGGGTAACTATCCTGCTAATTCTACAGTAAAAAATATTGGCCAGAAGATACTATGTGAACATCATGGTATAATGTCAGTGTGTTAAAGATCAGAGAATGAGTCAGGAGTTGTGTTGCCTGAGGGCCAGACAAAGAAATTCTCTTAACCTCACTGATGACAAATGGCTGCTCAGGCCTTATAAACTGTGTACACACTTCCTGTTTCCCTTCTTTCTTAAGCAGTTACGCTGCCACACCATGAAGTTAAACATTAAAACTCGGCAAACCAGTCACATCACACGCAAGGCTGAAGTATTCAAATATTTGCAATGAATTTAAATAAACTTGTGGTGAATTCAGGCGTCATTCCCTTAACAGTTATATAATTGATTCTCACGCTCAACACTTACTCTGCAGCAGCTCCCGGTGCAAAGAAGTAGGCAAAGCTCTGGGCCAGCTGCACAGCATTTTCTAAGTAGTTATGATGAAGCGGCTGTTCCGTAGGAGTGAGGTCAATCTTATTAAGCAGCGATACGCCATCCACGATCAGGTCCACACAACCTCCAAAACCTGTCGATGAAGGGGTGAGTAGAGACAGGGAAAAATGAATATGTGATTCAAAGCACACCTCATGAGCATGTATAGGACATAGATTCTGTAACACTGAGGAAGACAATAAAGAGATGGCCTCGAAGAAGAAGGTGGAATACTAAACATTCCCCCCTTGCAGTAACAGTAAAAACCAAGCACAGAGAAATGTAATACCAGGGTGCAAGCTTTAGTAAGCTGAGTAGAGAAATCTGCACATGAGCGGTTGCTGTGACACTTATCCTCCCCAGTGGTTTGTCAAATGATCTGTTACATTTTCAGCTGCTGGATCAAACTTCATCAACGCATGGCCTATAGCTACAAAGATATTTTGACAAGCCTGAACAAAAACCAACATGCTCAGCAGCAGCCCCAGACACCCAATATGTGTAGGACATTTGTTAGCCAAAGGTTCTGCAGAACAGCCCACATTTGAATTAGTTTTGAATATTAAAACTAGTCTGAAATCTAGAAAAGTACGGTAGTCTGAAATCTAGACTTCAAGCGTCTGTGTTTGCAGATGTTTTTCACTGCTCAAATCTTAATAATTCTTTTAATAATTTGAATTGATTACAATTAGAAAATCGATACCTAAAGCGTCCTGTGACAATGACAAGAACCAGTCAAACCTATATGTCATTTTGTAGGGCTAGGCTAACATCATGTGATGTTGCTTTCCTTTATTCTGAGTAAGTATATTGTTGTTATACTGTTAGCCTGATGATGGACTAGTACCCAAACATTGCCAACAAATATTTGTTTGTAAGTTAGACTGTGTGTGGGAGTTTACCTTTCAGTCTTGAGTGATTATAGTGTAACAGGTGTGACTGCGTGGCTGAGCCTGATGTTGAAGTGGTTAAAGGTTGAAAAGAGATATGATGATTACTTCTGTTGTGTGTTTGTACAGAAGATTTAAGGATAAGATCATCACAGTCAAGACACAGGCCTGTTGCACACATTTCTGAAATGTGCCACAAGTGGTTTGATGTCTTCAGATTCCATCCTTGAATGTAAATAGATATATTGGATATATAATGCACTTGACTGTGTAAAATGAGGGTTGATGATGAGATCATCTACGATGGTTAAGTTAACCCACATGTATGGTAAAATATTGGCGCTTTAGGCTCCTAATGTGCATGATGTAAACTAAAAACACATGATATTAGGGCTCACTCAGTATTAGGGACACGTGACTTCATGTGTAAGGAATAAGGAATATAGGCTTCTTACTGGTTGTAACAGACGACATCACATCACTCCAATTTGAGCTTCATTACACTGGCTTCCTGTAAGTTTTAGAATCGATTTTAAGATTTTACTCATTACTTTTAAAGCACGGACGGGGCTGGCTCCAAGCTATATAACAGACCTACTGACACCATATGAGCCAGCCCGCAGTCTTAGATCCTCAGGTGGAGACCTGCTGGTCGTTCCAAAGTCGAGACTTAAAACTAAAAGGTGACCGGGCCTTTTCAGTCAGGGGGGGCCCCTCGACTTTGGAACGACCTCCCTGAGGAGATAAGACTCACAGTTTCCCTCAGTTTAAAGTTTCCCACAGTTTAAATCCCTTCTTAAAACATACTTTTACAGACTTGCTTTTATGTGATGTCGTCTTCTTAATGTCTTTTCTTACTGGTTTTACTATTTTTATCTTCTGTTGCTTCTTGCTGTCCTTTTATTCATGCTCTTTATTCATGCTCTTATCTTAACTCCTCTTATGGTTTAACTTGGTAATTTCTTATCTTACTTACTTTGTCTATTTATGTTTTATATTTATATTTACTTTGTATTTTTATTAATATTACAGGGTTTTTTTATCATTTAATCACTTGTTTCTATTTCTTTTCCTGCTCTTACCTTCTTATTGCTGTTATCTTTTCTTTTTTTTTCAGCTCCTTTAGTTTCTTACATCTTTTTAAATCTTTGGTCCTCTTGGTCTCAGCTCTTGTTGTTGGGTTCTTGTGTTGCCTGGGTTCTTCTGATGGTTCTTCTGATGGTTCTTGTGATGGTTCTTATAATGGTTCTTCTGATGGTTCTTGTGATGGTTCTTGTGATGGTCGGGTTATATATGTCTGTTGTGTATCGTGCACTTTGGGTTCTTTTTTGTTGAATTGTATTTAATTATTTTTAGTATTTTGCATTTGTTATGTTCTTGCTGTTGTTTCTGTTCTTCTGTGTTTGGTTTAGTTTGTTTTTGCTGTTTGTCAAAGCACTTTGTAAACCTGTGTTTTTAAAAGGTGCTATATAAATAAAGTTATTATTATTATTATTATTATTATTATTATAAGTGGGTGAGTCTATGTAGGGTCGAGGTGGTTAGTTAATTTAGGGTCTCAGGCTCTCAGAACAAACTGTTCCAAACTTAGGTCTGCTCCCATTCATTTAATGATAAAACATGATGAAAACTATACAATAACTAAAAACTAGAACAAAGCGAGAAGCTAATGTTGTTGTCAGTGTAGATGACGAAAAGTTCCCTGCAGTTTAAATCATTTACAATAACATACTTTGTCGAATACCGCCATAATAATAATAATAATATTAATAATAATAATGCTGTGAAACATAAAAATAGTATACAGTGGGTTTGACAGCCACTATTGTTTTTTGTTATGTAAGAAATTAATTAACATTAGAGCATTTAGAGGAGCATTCAGAAGGCAGCTATGAGTGATAACACACATTTTGAAACATAATCGATCATTATTATGAACTAAGCTTGGCTAAGTGATGTTAGCATGCTCACTCTTACCGACAGCCACTCTCGGTCTCTCGACGTCACTTATCCCGACTTTACGTTCAGCCTTGAGCAGAGAGGACAGCACGGTGTCCAGCCGGTCATCCAGCACTACATTCTGGGGTGACCGGAACCAAAAGGCCAACAGAACCACCAGCGCGGACACAACAGGCCCATATTTGACCCACGAAACCCTGCCTCCCCCGTCCATGGCTCTGCGACCAGCAGCTAGCTTCAGAGGCTCTCACTGCCTGAAATGATCGAGCTGCTTTCGCCCGGTAGACCAATCAGGAGCGCTGTGCTGACTGGTGTGTTTGTTTAGAGAGCCGGGGTGTCCCGGATGCCGACTCATCGGAGGGATACCTCGTTAACAACGAATGTCTTCATTATTGAACGGAGGCTTCTTCTGGGAGCATTTATTTTACTAAGCACTCTTGTCCACGGTGGAAAGTTTTGTAAGAAACGAACCACTCATTTTTAAAATGCAAAACAAACACTCCCCCCAGTGTTTGTTTTCACTGACAACAAGGCGGAAGTGTTAGAGAGAAACAGTTTAAAAGCTGTTTTCCTTTATTATAACAGTTTGGCTATAATTGTTTAACTTTTTCTGATTAGCATTCCTCCAGACTCAGTCATTTAATAACCTGTCTATAAACAAAATATATACATGTTTTAACTACAGGTTAGCCTGTTCCCACATTTCATTCAACTTTGCTGCACAACCCCTAAGTGCAATACTAGTTGACAACTAGCAAAGAAGGTGGATTATATTCTAGGATGGTTTATATACTCTGCCTGTAATGTACATGTTTTTTCTTAAATATTATTATGTATTCTAACTGGGATTTTGTTCTGTTTGTGTGTCTTCATATTTAACAACCACTCTTTGCCATATGAGCCCCCTATCACAAGCATTTCACACAGTTGTACTTTCATAAACATCTTGACTCCTTAAACTTAACCCACATTTTATTTGTGAATTACTCCCTTCAGGTATGTTGTGCTTTAAGTTAGTCATAGAAAGTGATTAGAAACAACCAGCATGTGACATCACATTTGGAACCATTTATTGTTTTATTTTTTAAAAGGTGACAACAGAAATGTAACAATATTGTTGATCTATACAGGCAGACAACAAAAACATTCAAATTCAACCATATAAAACGTTTAATAACACTAAAAGGCATCAAATTACAATGATTACATCCAAACACTACAGAGTGGCATTAGACATAATGAGCAATTTAAAAAACTATCCTTGGCTGCATTGTTCAACATTCATTTAAATTATGACCAGTTTGATCTAAGATGGCTAATACTTTAACCAGTGCAGATAAAAAAAAGGTAGCTGTGCTGTGCTCATATCTACAGCAGGACAGATTGTCAGAGATAATGTGCACATACAGATGATAAAAACCTCAAAACCCTTTTGGGCTATCTTTTGACTGACCTTGCTTTAAGATGCAAGGAAAAAGACGTCACACATCTAATTAAAATAAAAGAAACATCTGAAGTACACGTGAGATGTGCTCAGAGACATAACTGTTGTCATACTCTCTGCCACATGAAAGAAGTTTAGGTTGCTCTTCAGTGGCTTTATGGTTTGTTTACTAAAGAAAACCACATACTGTGAGTTTGAGGGTGTTGAAGTTGACAAGTGAGCTTTAACTAGAGAGACTAAAGGGAGTTGAATGCAGATGGAGTTCCAGAGCAGGCAAGTGGAGTGTGTCGCCCTCTGGTGAAAAAGTAATAGACCTTCAAGCTGAAAAACCTGAAAGAGAGAAACGTTAAGAAACAGACTATAGCACATATCCACTACACTCTTTAAGAGGTACAGGGGCTTAGATCTATGGGGCTTGAGCAAATACTTACATTCCAGTGTATTTTATGACTTCACATAAAGGAAGTTACTCACAACAGATTTTAAAAGTTTGATTCAACAATGTATGCAATATTTCAAGGAGATGTTTGTTGTCTTACCTTGGTGTTTATTTGGGAATCCCTGCCACAATCTCAGACTCAATGCCACAGTGATCAGATCCACGTAGGAATTTGAAGAACCCTGAAGACCAGAACAGTTCTCACATAAACTTGTAAAACAGATTTAGCTCAACAACAGCAATAACTGGCATGTACAGTATGTGTCTTAATGTAAAACAGCTGTTTAGTGTGTGTGTATATATATATATATATATATATATATAGTTCAAGGAGTTAAACATAGTGAGGTGATGAAGATTTATTGGTGCTAAGCCTGCCGCAGAAATGCATTCATCCTAAAAGAACAAACAGACTGCAAATAAACAGTAGTAAACTAGTGTCAAATCAAATGTAATGGTTCTGGGGGCGCTAATAGCCTAGTGGTTATGACGTGTGCACTATATACAGAGGTACAGTCCTCTACACCTCGAGCCTTTGCTACATGTCACCCCCCCACATTTCCTGTCTCATAAAGGCAGAATGGCCCAGAAAAAAATGTAATGGTTCTCAATCAAATGTTCTTTGTATAGCCCCAATTCATAACAAATGTGATCTCAAGACACTTCACAACAACAGCAGGTCTAGACTTTTCCACTTCTTGTTCATGTTTAGGTGCTGAAAATCTGAATTTGAGCATAAAGCATTGAGGAGCTGAAATGATAGAAAAGTATCATGTCTTTTGAGCCAGCAGATTAACGGAGAGAAGTGTGACTTTTTAATGTAAAGATTATGTTTGTCACACTTCAAAGCAACATTAATTCAGCACAGACGACAGCTGAGGCTGTTGTAGAATTCAATAACACACAGTGTATCAAATATTCTGGCTGCTGTTAACTATAAGGATTGATAATTGCTGTTTAGATTAAAATAATAAAAAAGGTCAAAGGGGTGTCTCTGCTCACCGTTATCACCCCAGTCAGTGTTCCAGGAGTTGGCACAGAGCCAGTAGGGGACACCATCCTCCACCCCCCAGCCCAGGATCTTGATGGCATGACCGCCAACAGCAGACCCGGAAACATGCTGATACACACCTGAACACAAGAAAAAGAAGGCAATGAACAGAGTCGGGGAGGTCAGTGAGGGTTTTAAGTATGCATGAGAACACCAAGCAAGCATTCAAAATCAGCATTTAAGCTGAGCTCTTCAGTTTGAGAGTGTACGAGGATTCAGTGAGGCATGGGCCTTCTTACCGGACTTATACAGCACAAAGTCTTCATAGACGGTGAATGCGCCCTCTACTGGGCCATTCTTCTCGATCTCATGCTGAATCTGCTCCTCATCTGACTCCACAGTGTAAGACGTTTTACCTAAAACACACATTCTGTTAGGACACGCCTGTGCAGTTAAAGTTGTGTTAACTGACATGAGTGTTAGGTTAGTTTATGACAGCTATACCATTTATAGCACAGATACGGGGATTCATATGGCTATGACAAACCAGATATTTAGTATTACGTACAAAATAGTCCAGATTTAGTAATAAGTAATTCATTGGCCTGTTACAAGAAAGTGCTTGCTTAGACTAAATCCTTTCCGCACCATTACATATTTAATACTTCTCTTCTGCCTCCCTCTCACCAAAGTGCTTGTCCTCTCTGTAGCTGGGAGTGTATCCAGCTTCACACTTCAAGGTGCACTGGGGTGTGTCTCCTCCCTCTCCAGAGCAGGACGGTCTGCTGCCGTTCACATGGTGCTCGCAGGGGGCGATGGTGTAAGGACGACAACCTGTAGACAGATCATTGAGTTAGAACTGTAGGGGACACACCAAGATCACAGTGAAGGAGCAACTCTCACCGATGTGGGATTCGTAAAGTCCTCCAGACACAAGTCCCTGTTTGGTCCAGTAATCCCAGGCAGCTGAAGGGTAGCCACCATTACACCTGGAAAGAGAAAGATGTTTTTCTTAATGTTCCATCAACATTGTTGTCCACATACAGGGTGCGAAGAACAAACTGGACAAGGTTGTTAAACTAGGCAGCAAGATAACTGGGAAGCAAATGTACAGCGTTTCTTTCCTGACAGACCAGTACACACTGAGCCATCAAGATCACAGCTGACCCTCTGCACCCCCTTTGGTCAGAGTATGAACTCTTGAATTCAGGGCACAGGTACAGAATGCCCAGGATGAGGACTAAAAGAGGCATTACATCCTTTGTACTGCGCAGTATTCAGCTGCTTAATAAGACTGTTTTTATGTGTTCTTATGTGCTGTCCTGTAAATGTTTGTTTGTAGTTGTGTTTTTTTTATGCTCTCTGTGCAAGGCAAATTCCCCTAGGGGCAATAAAGGTTTCATTCATTATCAAACAAATCTTAAAAACAGTCACTTTTCACACACGTGTGCCTCTCACCCCATGCCACAGGTCTCGCAGCAGGTCAGAAGATCCTCTGAGGAGATTTCCACACTGACCTTGGCATTGCTGTGGATACACACACGGTCAGAGATGGCCTCTGCAGCACCAAACGCCTGTGAGAAGGGAAAACCCACGACAAGATCCTTTTAATACAGCGCCCCAACGAAGCCCTGCCGCCTTTATACAGAACCAAACAGTCACATCGTACCAGCGGGGACAACTCCTCCACAACATTGCGCCTCTTTAGCTTTATACAGAGATCGACGAGTGACACAAGTGAAACAGTTCTTCATTGAACAGGTCGTGTTAAGGGGTCTAATGATATTTTCTAAAACCAGGATCTATGATTGCAGATAGAATATGCATTTCAGACCGCACTGCCCTTTGAAGCAGGTGTGTAATTGGGGGCTGTATACTGTGGAAATAAAATGGTGTATGATCCTTTGAACATGACCGAACACAAATCATAAACAAGATTTGTCACACCGTTTCGTCTTCCTAAACATAAATCCTCAAACCATGCAGATAAATACAGACACATTTTTCCAAACTGTTGAGCAGTTTCTTCCTCACCCAGCATGATCCACATGAGCCCTGGTCTCTGATCTCCTTCAGGGTGGGACAGTTGGGCCACTGCTCTCTGGAGTCAAACTGTTGAGGCAGCTTCTTGTCTCCAGCATACTGAACCCTGCAAAGCATAACAGTGTTAGAGTCAAACGTTACCGTGTGCAAAACGGCAAGTATACATTTAGAAAGACTTGATGTACTTCTCCAGTTTGTATAGAGCGGGTGGAGTACCAGAGTTTTGCTCTCAAACACTGACAAAGACACTTTAGAGGTTTTAACAAATGTAAACATTGGCTGTTTATTCAGGAGACTTAAATGAAACACGCAGCATTAATACTCACATAACTGGCAGTTTAGGTCCCTTCAGCATTGTACCGCAGAGTCTCCTGACATAACTGTAGTCCACATTATGGAAGTTGTGACCAGCCTGAAGGAGAGGACGGCCAGTCAGTCAAATAGAGATGATTAAGGCACAGACACAAAAAAAAAAAAAAAAAAAAAGGACAGAAGAAAACAAAAGGTGATGAGAAAAAAGAAAAACAATCTCACCGTCCAGGTAGTGTTGATCTTGTTGATGTAGTTGACCATCTCACTGGACAGTGGTTTGAGGTGGGGTCTGGCCAGGCTCACAGACAAGCTGGCAGCCAGTAACAGGAAGGCTGCACGCCACATTCTGCCTGCAAAACAAAAGACTCTCAATGTTTCATTGTGAGCTTAAATCCACTTCAGTTCACCTCCTACACTATAGTTACCCTATTTTATAAAACTGATAGATGTTTTCTTTAAAATGTGTTTTTCTAACATTAGTGGCAAATTGTAAAAAGCTGTGATACGTCACATGGATTCAAGTTTCCAATCCTGAAACCAGGGTGACCTTGGGGGGGGGGGGGGGAATGTTCAGACTAGGCCACATCACGCTGGTTACATCTGTAAGTGGAACATGCATACACAGTGTACACAGAGAGAGAGCAGATAAAAACCTCTCCTCAGTCATGCTTGTAAGTTACCTTTCCAAACAGTCAAACACTGCTCCTGGAGGCACATAAGTCCAATTTAAGTTAAGCAATTTTAAATAATATCTAGAAGGGGGCGTAAGACCTTTAATATACAGTGTAATATCAAAAGAAGAAGTGTTAGCAATCTAATAGAGAAGTGAGCTCATGATATGCAGGATGTTACAAGTCAATATAAAAAAATCAATACCAGTGCAGACACTGTTCTTCCTTGTAAACCTCACAGGAGGAACTCGCATGCAGCGTCATGCTCTTCCAAGATGGGTTTTTATTTTGTGTGCTCAAGAGGGATTAGAAAGTACAATATTTAAAATCGGTTCGTTGCCCAACATAATATTACATTATAGCTCCTCAGTGACTACACTGGCATGCTGCCAATCAGATTCCTCTCTCTTGAAAAACAGCCGGTCTTGTTTTGCTCCTGAAAATCTGCACACCTGTTTATATCACAGAAAAACCAGAGGATAAACTATGAACACACACGAAAGTATGACTTCCAGTGAAACTTCCGCTAGTTTGAAAGCACATGACAGAGGTGAGGGAAACACCATGAGCAGGAAGTACAGTGAAGGAACAGAAAACAGACAAGTCCCTTTTCAAAACGACATCTGTTCCCTGAAAAGATCTGACAAACCCTTATCACTTAAGAGTCTTTATGTGATAGCCTAACCAGGTTATTTTCAGTGCTCACCTTTCTTTAATGCCATAAACACTTCTTACAACATGTCCTATTGGGTCTAATGCCAAGAAAACTTTAAAGAACGTACTTGTCTGGGTGAAAGACGTACTGTTCACAAATAGGTCATGTTTACTGGAGAGACTTATGTAGGCAGCAGCTGTTACAGCACATTTGATCATTTTGTTTGTCATGCCAACAGGATTTTTTTTTAAATCAGCTAAAGGAACATTTTAAATGACGGATTCTTTTTTTTAAGCTTTAAAGGAAGTGGTTACCAAGATTTGGCAAAAATGACAAAACAATGATTTTGATGCAACTTTGGGAAGTGAAACATAAAACAGCTGACCAGCACACTCTTCTCCCCTCAAGAAATCTGTCTCAAGTCAATGACTTTGCACACAGTGGTCGTCAATATTTGACAAAGGGCTCCGCAAACATGTTGTGAGTGGAGGGCTGTATGATCTGAGTTTTGCAGTTCTATGCATGTCTGAAAGGTCAGGATGATGACTGTTTATTTCTGATGCTAACCGACAGATTGTTAAAGAGCATCTAAAAGTGTAGGTGTTGTGATGTTTGTGTTTTTTTCCCCCCCTAGCGTGGGAGGTTTATGCTGAAGACAAAATTAAGAGAGTCAGTGCTGAAACCACAGACTAGTCAGAAAACTTCTTCCCCAATACCCTTTATGAGAAGAACCACATGAACTTGTAAAAAGACCACACTGATGTGTGGATTGAAAATAAAACATCACTTTTTTATAAACACTGTATTGTAGGCAGGACAAAGGCATATCCTTAATCATTCCTGCTCATATTATACAATGTTTACTCTTTACTCCCGGAACAAAAACCTGGAGAAAAAGCTAAAATACTTAAATATAGTTTCACATCTGAACAGTCTGAAAAACATACATATGTAACACCTTTTATCTTAGACAACATAGTCCAGTAAGTTTAAAACTAAACAATACAAAGGTGGTGAGTTATCTCTGTTTATCTAGTGACTAAAGTAATTTCTTTATCACTTTTCCAGGTTAACAGATTTTTATTCTTTAGGTAGCCAGCCAAAAAAAACACTCAGATTTTTCATGATTTTATTTTTCATCCCCTCTTTGCCACTGAAGGAATCAGTCCGAGGAAGAATCTGGACTGTTTTATTATACGGATGTTTTAATCACTTTTTCATTCTCAGGCTCTGATCCTCAGCTGTAGCAGACATGTTTGTAACTAAATAAAACAAGTCTCGACCCCTCTCCCTTTGGTACAGTTTCGCAGAGGACTGAATGGCTGCCTACAGCTCAAATAACAATACTTTCACTTTCCATGTTAATGTCAGTATTATATTACTTGTTATAAAATTAACTTCAAGTGCTAAGTTTAGTTTCAATCTTAAAATATGACGCTGTCTACACCACATTATACATATATATCATCTAATGTGTACAGAGAGAGTGTTTTGGTAATCAGACCTGACTGTGTTTTTCAGCCACACCTGGCTTCAGACTGTTATCTTATCACCTCTGAACATGAAGCTTTAAATGAGTCATGTGGTCAAAAAACAACCACCACCAATTAAGCTATTGTTACAAATAACTTCAACAGAGACAAAAAGAACAAAAAATTCGATGTATTTCTGAAAGATTAATTTAAAACACTTCGTACTCTCTGTTAATGTTGCTTGTTTATGTTAAAGTGTGACAGATTCAGCAGGCCTGACTCTGTAAGTAAACAATCTGTAAGCATCGGCTGATTAGTTTAAATAGTTTAGGAACAAAGTGTAGATACCTTTAGTTCGAGTTACAGCTTCTTGGTGTTAATGTCAGGAAATCTTCAGCTCCAGGTTTCCCCTCTCAGACTGTCTGTCGGTGACAAACACAATGTGTGATTGTGAAACGATCCTCCGCTGTTTTATTCCTTTCATACAATCACGTGAGCCGGTCACATGAATGTAGGTCATGTGACCGGCAGCCTGCTCCACTGTTTCACTCAGCTCTATCGCTGTCAACATAAATCAATCATGTCCTCTCATAGACTAATCAACATCTAACACAACATAAGACGGGGGGGAACAATAGGGAAAAACACATTATATGTGGTGAAACGGGATGGTGCAGTACTCCCACCTGACCACTGGGTGGCGCGGAAACTTCCGCTCTCACAACTGTAAGCACTTCACTCAGATGGACTATTGAATACATATTGTAGTGGCCAAAACCAAAAAAAAATCTAAATAAACTAATATCAAACATAATCAAGTGACCACTGATGCACCATGGGGATTTGATTTTTACATTTCACTGCACGTCTGTATGAGCATGTGACAAGTAAAACTCTTGAATCTTGAATCTTGATGTACGCAGGCAAAAGAAGTCCAATGTCCATGCAAGAGATCTGCGGGTTTTTTTGGTGGTTTATTTGGTTCAAAAGAAAGCAAACAAAAGAACAAAGAAAATCGTGTCTCCTGCTGCCTCTCTTGCGCTGGTAAAAAAAAAAACATAGGCCCACCCAGGTGCATGCTGGTCCTCTACCTGCCTCTTAGGGTAGCTAAACCCTAAAACCACTTTTTTCAACTATAAACCTCTGTATTTGAGTGTTAAGTAGTGTTATGGATCAATCCAAGTCCCAGTCTCGACATTTGAGTACAAAGTATTGAAATTTGAAATATTGTGTTAGAAGTGTGCAGAGTGTCTGCCCTTTAGTTTGAAAAACTCTAACAGCTGTGTGGAGTACAGTATGACGTAGGAGTACATTACTACGTCACCAAATCTATAAAAGCCTCGTCACCTGACTCAGTGAACTGTGGGGACCATAGACTGTAAATATTACAGTGGGGACTCAAGTGTGTGTGTGTGTATTTGTGTGTGTGGGGCAAACATTGTATCATGTTGTGGCTGATAACGGGGCGAAGCAGTGAGTGGGCGTGTCTTACCCCCGCCCCGCCCCCTCCCTCTCCAAGTTGATACATTGACCTTCTAAATGCATTTTTTTTTAAATTCCAGGGTCGAGCAGTACAGCTGAAAATATGAGGTTTAGTTACCCAGTGTTACCCAAATACCTAACAAAAATACTAATGCAAAACTAAATTTACTAAACAAATGACTAGCAAAAGAAAATATTACCCAAAATCTATTCTAAATAAAGAAAACGTGTAGAATAATTAAATAAACAACACCACCCAAATATTAGTAATTTTAACAACAATTAAATAGCTCCAACACATATCATACATATACATATGCGTTAATATAAATATACAAGTACACATTTTGGCAGATCCCTTTCCTATCCAATTCTGTTTATGCTGCCATGATTCTCCACCCTTAGTATTTTCCTTCTTTCCCTCTCTGCTCACCTGTCTCCACAGAGTTTTATATGGCAAGCAGATTACACTTTTAATAGCAAGACTGGATATTAATTAGATATATCTGTGATTCAATTCCCCATAGTCAAGACGAACGTTACACGGCAAAAGGACGCAATTTGTCCTCGGAAAAATGGCGGCACTTTGCCTTTTATTTGCCTGGGCTACGAGAAATTGTGGGTAGTAAGAATTTTCTTGTGAATATACTATACTACAATTTTTTATATAATTAGAAATGCTATGTATACCTAATATATAATATATAAACATGAATGTTAAAACAGCTTGCCAAAATGACATGACTTTCCCCATCCACCTCATCAACTCTCTTTACTTCCCTCATAGTCCTCACCCCTGTGTGAACAACTGTTTCCTTTTTTTGTTTGCAATTCATTTCCATTGCAAGGTGCCTGTCTTCCCTTTCTTTTTTTGAAACACCTGATCCTTGGACCTGCCTGCTCATTGAGTAATGTTGCTAACCAGGCTGCTTGTGTGTGTACCTGCCTCAGACTCATCTACCAGCTACATCCATGATTTGTCTGTCCTAATCTGCATATGGATCCCCTTATAACCCAGAGGAGCCATTGATTGATTTTTCTGAAGTTATGTTAAGGTAATTTGTGTGTTGGTTTATATATTTGGTGTTGTGTGTTATTGTTTATATCATTTATTTCAAGTTACATGGATATAGGTGGTGATATTGCATTGGTTTGCCTGTTCACCATTTTTGTTATCATGTTATCATGAGTTGATTACATTCTCTATAAATACAAATTTAAACACATTTTTTAAGGATTCAAGTGATTCTGTTGGAGGTGTTTCAGCCAAAACCTCAGCTCCTCAGCAGCTTTTGTTTTGTTTTGTGTAGTCTTCTGCAACACCAAGGGGAGTAAGTGCGAGCATACATGGGTTTGGGCCCCTGGCCCCACATACTAATCACAAACCATGGTGATAATTACCAAAAGAATGTCAATTTAAGAAATCCACAAATTTGCTACTCCTTACCCTCATGTAGAAGCAACAGCTGGGGCAAAAAACAAACAAAAAAAACAATACCAAATTGCCAATTTCAGAGATCCAACTCCCTATAGGCTACATATTAAAATGGAAGGTCATGATGGCGGTTGTATTCTGAATAATTTGCTATCAGCAGGCTGGAGCGCTACATTTTTGGGGGGTCTACAATATCTCTCAAATACCTCAGAACATCTCATGCACAAAGGTCATTTGTCATATTGGATTATGAAAAATACTCAAACATGCAGTATATCCTAACAGACATGTGTAACTAGATGGATGCTGATGTAGTCTGTTGCAGTATCTGCCTGAGAATTCACTTTTTGTTTGTTATATTAATGGAAGAACAAACAATAAAATAATGTAAAAATAAATGCTCTCGTTAATGATGCTGAGTACTTTTTGAAAAAACAGTACATGGACAGAAATAAAGGAGAAAGTAACATGTGATTTATAACAGCCTGAAAGCTGTATTATGCTGTGGATCAGTGACCACAGAGAACATGCTGATTGTCAGGCTGCTTTCACTTCCTATAATCAGTCTGTCATCTGACTCTCTAAATGATGACATGGCAAAAATACTTCATCCACAGCACACCAAATTTAATCATGATCAAACAAGTTTCACAGGAGCATATCCTCATTTTAGAGTGAGAGGAACAAAAATAATCTATTTCAGTATACGAGAAAGTATACAAATGAATCAGTAACAGACAAGGCAGGTGTTTATTGTATCAGATAAAAAATATTATAAAGCACAAAGATATTAAGAGTTGTGGAAGCTTTCATTTTGCTTAACTTCCTTCAGGGGAGAAAATAAACATTTTGTTAGATATATTTACATTTATAAATCTTAAAAAAAAATATATTTTTAAGATTTGTGATTTAATGATGATGTTGATTCTACAGATCACACGGTATCTTACAACACCAACATTTCAGCCAGTCTTATGTTGACATGGTGCAAAACTCTTAATACATAATGTATAAAATGACTTGACAATACACTTAAGTCTATTTAGTGTGCCAGCTCAGCACACAGTGTACAGAAGAGCTGGAGGAATGCTTGTTTATACCTCTTTAGCAAGTTAATCTGGCATTAGACTGGAGTTACCAATGTACCACAACGACATTTACATTTTTGTTTTTCATACTTATTATCACTGTGGTCATGTATATCTACCTCTCTGAGGCTTATTAAAATATTTAATCGTAGCTAATGGTGAAAGACTAAATATATTTCAGTAAAATACGACCCAGCAGTCAGAGTTCTGATCATGATTAATGTCTTTATTTCGTACATCAATAGCACATTAAATAACTCTCTATTATCAAACACAGCTGCTCTGTGGAGATCCTCTCAGAGATGAGGTGATGCCAAGGATAAACAAACGCTGCCCCGAGACTCAGTGACGTTACACTCAATCAGCAAACTGATTTAAGTCCGTCAATGGAAATAACTTGTGAAACTTCAGCACAAAACCCTGAAACACTGCACCGTTGCTGTTACACATTTCACACTGAAAATGTGACCAAATATAAATGAAGAAAGAAATGTAAAAAATACAAAAAGAGTGAAAATAGAAACACAATCATAGGCTATCATACACATCTTGTACACAGAGCAAAGCACATTGTTCTAATTTAAAGCAGCAGACACACACACACACACACACACACACACACACACTGAAGCTGTCTCTCTACAAGGCAAAGCGCTGATTCATGATAATCAAGCCAAGGCATCAATGCAGTTTAAAGCGTGTGCATGGATTTTCTAAATCAGTGCAGTAAGATATATTTCATTAGCTGGCTTATTGCTTTTGCATACACACATCAACGCATGTTTGTGTTTACTATGGTAATATGTGCATGTAGTTACAGTTAGTGTTTTCTTTCTCTAAAGGAATAGATACAATTCTCTGGATGCATGTATGTGTGAGTTACATGCAGTGACTCTTATCTATCAGCAGGCTGTGAAAAATGGATAACAGTTCAATGTAGTTATATCCAACGAGAACTCTGATTTACAGGTTTTATCAACAGACAGCAAAATAAATCAAAAATAATATAGCAGAGTTTAAGAAAAAATAAAAACATTGTCTGGGTACAGTCAGGTCTAAACATTTAAATCAACAATATTAAGAACATAACATAACTGGCGTTGATCAAACATGAAACTCATAGCAGCACATTGAATTCAGGAATTCCCTTTATGCAACCTTTCTTTTCTCAACCTCTGCCCCCGAGGTCCCACTGTGTTGTAGCTACATTATCAGAAGTGTTTCAAACTAACCAGGAAAGGTGCTCTGTGTGTTTTCTGCCTTACAGTGGACAGCTACATTTTTGCACTGTGACACTGGAAGATTATAGAACCGGTTATTCACATGGAAGTTAGAAGGTGCAGCTGATGGCTTTAAAGGAAGAGGCCAGAGTCCTTTTCATTTGTAACTTTTCATGTAAGACTGTCAAAGCTACATTTCCCACAGCTAGCTTAAATGCTATCATGAGCTTGCTAGTTCTAGTTTTTTTAAATTATCTGGACACTTGCAATTTTAAATTAATGAAGTGTCATAGCTAACAAGATAAACATAAGCGAATGTGTGTTCACTGCAATGGATTGTCTGCATCAGGGGGTTGTTGCTTTATATCCAACAAAAGTACCATGTAACACTTAATGACACAAGTCAATCATCATATTGATATTGATCAAATAAACAGGGGAGCAAACAAGCAGTAAAACATTTTACCAACCTATAATTAGACAGTGAGGTAGAACACCAAACTATAAAGCTTAAACTAAATGTGTTTTGGAAATACAAAAAGGGCACCATCTCAGACAGAAAGGATCTTAATTGGTAGCAAATTAGCTTAACTTTCATACAAGAACTAACAGGTTTGTTACCATAGCAACTCACATAAACACTGCACAAAAATGACTCAGCTCCTACAGTAAGCATCAGTGGTCAGTTTTATGGGCATTCATAATCGTATACTGTATCATATCATCATTCTTTCATAGTCTTTACTTCTTTAATAATTTAATAAAAAACCCATATTTGATTGTCGGAGACATGTTCATAAAGGTTCAATCATTTTTAAAGACATACAAACACACGTCCTCCAGGAATAGTCTTTTTTTTTAAGACTAGATTTTTATCATCAACATTGTCCTTTTTATCACGTCCCCTTACCATATTTTATATCTATGCTTTTTTTTTTTTTTGGGGGGGGGTCAACCTATGAGAATAAAATATTTGTTAAGGAAGTACAGTCTTGTATGTCTCACATTCTGTGTTTGTTAAGACATTCAACAATTATTTGGGTCAACACAAAATCTTAAAAGAGAGCAATGAATATCAGATACGTGATCAATAAAACAGATAAAACAAAGTAATTAAAAAATAGTTAAAAAACAAACTTTAAAGAAATTAAATACATATTATTATTGAAAACACATCATAGTATTTATTTTTCTATATTGCCCATTTTCACTGTCAGATTTCATGTTTTCTCTTTGCGTATTCACAATAACGAAATGCTACAGGTGACTCCAGTGGCTGTAAATCAAGTTGAGTTGTTTCTGTGCTAAAGTTTTGACCGACTGAAATCAGTGCTGCTGAAAGTAGCAAAGGCAAGCTTTCCATTTGATAACTTTTTTACTCTAACCTTTGCACCTTGTTGCTTGCTTATGTGATAAAGACAATCATATGAATGACTAGATTTGACAACAAGTGGTAAATAAGAAGTCTGTTTGTGTTTGTGTGTCAGTAATGTGTGTTAACACAGACCGTGTTCTGCTGTACTCTACACACATAAGAACCTGACAGACTGATGAAGGACAAAACTCAACTATATTCAACATCATTTCAATCAAGTGATACTGAATGATATCCATGACATTTAAGTTTTAAGGTATAATCTATGTAATTCATAACAGATTATTAGTCCCATTGTGTAACTCCGATCTCACCAGTTTTGATAAAGAGACAGGCATACTGTAGGTGAGGGATGTTAGAGGAGCGTGTGCTCAGCTGCCTGCAGACAGCATGTTTGATTATTGTAAACAAGTATAGTTGACTGCTTTTCTTAAAAATAACTCTTCACCGAGTTCCAACGTCTTTCAGATTATTCCCTTGATTCACATGGATACTTATGCTTTTGTTTTCTTAATTTTATCATAATAATCAAATCATTCTTATGAAAACTTAATGCACAGTCTGAATAAGCTGATTTTAAGTCTGTTTGTTGTCCGTTTTGAAAGTTTACAATTTCCAAGTGTAACTGGAAAGTGTAAGTGTATCAAAATGAAAATGATGCCCCACATAAATCCCCCCCCAGCAACCTTAATCTAATCTGCTGTAAATCACTATATGTAGAGTAATGTATTGTAATGTAATGTACTATATGTAGAGAACATAATCTTGGTTTTAAGGTCTTAAAAAAATAGTTAGATACTGCCCACAGGATATTCATTTTAGTGTGTGAGGGGTTGCAGGCGCCTCAACCCAACTGCCAAATCAGCAACAAGGATCTTCACAACACCTATCAAAAAAGAATGACTAATATGTAAACTGGTATGTACAGCAGGGTGATAACTATCACTTTTGAGAATGAAGCACAATTTAATGCAGTGGTGGTTTGCCACTGTGCTTCCCGTGTATTCCCATGTTTTGCTAAATGAACCGCTATATCTGTATCAGCAGAAAACATAAATAATGATATACACTATATATCCTCTAAGACTGACTTAAGCTTAGCAGAAAAGCCGCCTAGTTCCCCACCAAGCCTTCTTTAAATAAGTAAATAGTGGACTTGAGCTATATCCTTAGCTGAACTACTTAAAAAGACACAATTCCCCACCCTGTTGTTCCTTTCACCTACCCGACCTTACACCATCCTCTCTCTGGTGCCCACAAACTGCACCATCTGTTTGCGAGCGTGTGAGATGACCGGAGTGAGTGGAACTATGGGGGTCGTTGCTCCTGGAGTGGTACCACCAGGAGTCAAAGACCCGGGAGTCGAAGCTGCGGGTGTAGAAGCAGCAGATGCAGAAGCTGCAGGCGTAGAAGCCACAGGTGTGGACGCACTAGGGGATCCTCCTGGAGTGGGGCCTGGTGTTGTACCAGGTGTAGCAGGAATGATGACCACAGGGGCCAGGCTCGGACTTTCAGCTCGGGGCTCCAGTTGTGGGGTGGAGGTGACAAAACGAGCCTCCCTGATGCGGTAGGGACTTCTGTAGGTGGAGATGGGCGACAACTCAGAGCCCCAGCCAAGATAGCTCCCACTGGAGGGAGATTGTGCTTCTGCGCTGAAGTACAGAGTGGTGCTGGACTCTCCAGGGACCGATAGTTTCTTCTCAGGGGAACCAATCAGGAGAGGTGATCGCCGCTCTGGTGACCAGGCGGGGGTCTTGATGTCCAGAGAGCACACGGAGGACGAGGCTTCGGTCAGCGTCGCAGCCTGGCTGTCGATATGACGGAGGCTCCCTAGGCATGGTGATGAAGGCGTTGGCGAGCCATAAGCAGCACTCTGATACTCCTCATCACCTTTAGAAAAGACACAAGATTGCATTAAAATGTGTTCATACAAGGTTTGTCTTGAATGTTGGTGAATTTCTAGGACTAGGAAGAATGTATTACATCATGAAAATGTTTGCATTAAATATTTGTTTCAACTTGTCTTTTGCTACTTCTGATATTATAACTAAATGAACATTCATGCCAGTCTCAAGAAAAAAACCTGTATGTTGAATGTGGTTAAGTGATATCCTAATTCTAAGATTGACAATATAACATTATTATGATGATAATTCAGTTTGAATGAGGGTTTAAAATGTTAAGTCTTACCAGACAAATGATCTAAAACATTTCCAATGAGTAAAAACATTGGAGTGGAACTTCTCACTTCTGTTCTTATCTGTTCTAACCAACAAGCCATTGAGTTGGTTTCACAGAAAACAGTATTCCTTCAACACCAGATATTCTTCATGCATACTTGTAGATTTGCTGCTGATGTAGATACACCTCCAGTAAGACCACATCATATCCATCCACTTTGCCAAACATTCACATGACTACTTGTATGTGAAAGGTTAATAAATACAGCCCACAGAAAAATATCACCTGACTGCAGTTCTGCTCAGCTTCACAGACCTTTACACTTCTTTCAGGTCAATGTTCGGCTTGTTGGACCTATGCTCACTCTCGCTGCAGAACTATCTGTTTTTATTTTAAAAAAGGCCTAAAGTAAAGTACTGCTTGATACCTGGCCAGGACCAAACATAAGCTGGGAAACACAGTGAGGAAATAAGCAGCTCAAAATCAGATATTTCCCTTAGGAGTGGAAAACAAAAAATGAGCTGAAAGACTGAATATTGTGCTTACATTTGTCAGGTAGGAGGGAAAACAACTACACAAAAGTGAAGTAATTTAAAGAGCATTGAACCTGCATTCTTCAACCTGCAGTGTTAACACCCTCTTAACTAAATAAAGATGATTCTGGCTCCAAAAAATCTCAAGTGCAAAAACCAAAAGGCCAAATTCAATGCTTTCAATCTTAAGTCTTGCAGTATTTTTTGTGTCTTTTTCTGCTAAATGTTTGAGGATGCGCTCTAACAGGCTTCAGTGATTATCAGGACATTGAACCTTTTTCCTCTGACAGTGGAGCTGACACTGAAGCTGACAGTGAGGCTGACAGTGGAGCGCTGCACTCGTCTTCGGCGCTCTCTTCAGGAATGACCTCCTGGAACGGGATGATCTCTGGAAACCTCCTCATGTCCTGGATTGTCGTGGGCGGAGCTCTTCTCACTGGTCGGGCTACGACAGTGCTGGGAGCTGGCTGTGGAGGCTGGACTACCTCCTGTACCTGGAAACAGAGAGAGTCTGAGACTCAGAACGAAGATAGACAAACTCAGTATTCAGCATTATGAATATACATGACCTCTCCGTTGACAACCTGATGGCTGAGCATACATAAATAAAGATCTTGAGGTCGCTGTGTAAAGTGTTTTAGTTTTTGTAAAAGAAAACGTTTAATATATCTGTGAAAATGTAGTGCAGTGGATGTGTCAGCTGACTCATTTGTCTCCGTTTTAGAGTCCTAAAATTAGTGGTTTTGAGCTCAAATTAAGTTTATTAATTCAAATTAAATCAGTACATTGAGGGTTTTTTTTTTTTTTAAAAAGGCTCTTACCTGTGGAACCTGGGTCACCTGTGGTGGAGCTGGTTGAGCTGGTTGTGAGATCCGAGGAGCAGGCAGTTGAACTGGTGGGATCTGACAAATCACATCCCAAATAAAAGTTAGATCCATTTAATGTCATCTTAAAAAAATAATAGGCCAAAAGGAACGCAATTAACCTGAGGGAAATGAATTTCATCAGGGGAGTGGACTTCTTCCGAAAGACCCATCAGTCCCGCCAGACCCCCTTCACCATAGGCAGACCAGATGCTAGCTACGTTTCCTGTCTTCAGGGCCAAGCGAATCAGCAGCCAGTGGTGATGTTTCCAGCCCTCCCATTGGATAGGGAGATCCATTAAGGTCCCGCCCCCTGAGGAATAAACACTAATATTTATTTTTTATAGATAGATAGATAGATAGATAGATAGATAGATAGATAGAAAGATAGATTGATAGATATAGATATAGATAGGTAGATAACAAACCAGACAGTGTTGCATGGCGATGGAAAGAGGGTGTGACTTTCTCCTCCAATGAGAGTGTAGATCCTCGCTCCATGCAGGCTCCACCTATTCCCCTATGGCGAATACTTTGAAAAATCTCGAAAGACTTGGGGTGGAGGAAACGATAGTACAGCACCAACGCTATCAAACCTGGACAGAGAGAGAGAGACAGAGAGAGAGAGAGAGAGAGAAACCATCAGCCCCAGCTGTACTTTATGTTTAGTGTGAAGAACCAATTATTAGCCTCTAGACTATGCCGTCTCTTTGTTGAACAAAACCTTCTCAACATCAGCATGTTAGCAATATCAGTGAGAGCATGTTAGCATGCTAATATTAGCGTGTTAACATGACTGTATATCTGTATGCAATGTGACGTTGTGTTCCTTACCAATGAGGAAGCTACAGAAGATAGCAGCTGGGATCCCCACTGTATCCCAGGACACCATGGTGAACAACCACGAGGATGCCAGGAGAAGAAAAGCGTTTTCTAAGAACATGGCCTGAAAAAGAATGAAAAGAAACAGAGACAGATGTTCCCTTTTTCTGACACTTAAAATAAATCTAACATTTAAATGTTAGCCTTAATGTTTTTCTATTTATCTGGCTGTAATTCAATTATTTCTTAAAGATCACATTGACTGATCTGTTGCAATATAATAGCCAAAGAAGTTTCATTTGGTAGAAACGTTCATAATAATACTATATGAGTACATATTACGACAGAATGACACCTCCTGAGCCCTGAGTTATCAGGAAGAGCCTGAAGTAACACAAAACAAACAAATGTTCAGTGATTTTTTGAATAGTCAGTAAATCATTCATTAATGTCTATTTGACTTAGATTCACATTTGGTAAAACATTTCTGGGATAAAAATAAGTTGCGGAGGGGGCTGGGGCTTCAAAATTACTAATTTGTTAGACTGTGTATCGTTAATCTCATCGGAACTTGTTCTTAAATTCAATTCAATATTAGTTTATTTTTGTGTGACCTCTGCCTTACAGACATTAACCGACCTCAGAGACACACACATACCAGGTAGAATCCTGCCATGCGGTATCTGGATTGACCGTACTTCACATTCAGGAAAAGGAAGATGTGAACGGCTCCCAGGACCAGGTTGAAGATTCTCCATCGACTTGTTGAGCGTATGATGTCAGTCTGCTGGGATACCATCCAGAAAGTTGCTCCCAGCCAGTGCACACCTGACACACAATCACATAGCCATTAATACAAAAATAGTTTGACTATCTCAAACAAACTTGGTCACTATAAACATGACAGTAGTGGAGGAGCATGACATTACTAACAAAGAAATGGTTAAATGTGTCTGTAGCTTAATAAAACTCTCCATACATTAAAAATATATAGTTAGAGATGAAACCTTCATATCTAGTCTCACCAATGACTCCCAGGATCCATTGTTTGAAGATTCGTGTGAAGAGCATGAGAACGGCAAATCGAGATCCCAACATACCAACCTGTGGAAAGACAAAATACACATGAATAAGATGAACAAAAGCCAAAACAAACACTTATGTCATTTCAAACACTTTATACCATATCATTAAAATTGTTATATTGATAGTACACGTTGTACATTACGGAAGAGGATTATTATTTTTTTTTTATGGTTCTGGTTTTTATGGTTTTTTTAATGCTAGATTAAAGTCAGAATTCTCTCTTTTTTCTCAGAATTCAGACTTTTTTTCTGGAGCCAGAATTCTGAGATTAAAGTCAGAATCCTAAAAAAAAAAGTAGTACATAGTGAGAAATGTAGGTTTGTTTAAACGTGCCCACCCTCCACAGCAGTCGACAGAGGATGGCAGCGGGGGTCATTTGTAGATGTCCTGGTCTGATGAGTGAGCAGGCTCTGGCATAGAGGACCAAGGCCCAGGCCAGAGATAACAAACACACCACAAAACACACTGAGGCTGCAGAGGGGAGAGAGGGAAAGACATGTCAACACCTAGATACACTGCACTGCTACATACAAAATTAAGGTTAGAAGCAAGGCAACATTGGAAACACATTGTAAATAAAAAAAAGTTGGATGGTCACTTATGTGCCAAAACAGGTCTTAAAGCTGATCTGGAGAACTTTTTTTTCTAGCAAACATCTGCTTATTACCATGTGTGGCTGTTATGGAGCAACATCTGCATTCATTAAAGCCGTTTTCACATATGCACTCCGGATAATATCTAGATAATTGCAGGAGGACCGCTCCGGAGATTCTCCCAACCTAGTCGTTCACATATGCTCCTCACAGCGGTGGACTATCCCTGTCAGAGGGGAGGGGGGGGGGGACGTGACTGAAGACGTGACGTAAATAAACTACGCGGAAGTAGCGGCTGAAGCAACAGAGTCCGCTACACAACGTTAAAATGAGAATATTTGCCTTTATATCAATGCTATGTGTAATCCAATGGAATGACAACATCCACAAATAGAGAACAACATACTGAAGAACAGAAAACACAATGAAGCCGTTTATTTACGTGCAAGGATATCGTAGTGGTCGTGTGCAGACACTTTAGGCAGTATATAAACGTCACTCGGGTCTCATTGGCTCGAATTGAAATCTCCAGAGTATATGCTGCCGCTTTCATACGTCAGCTCACTCTGACTTTCTGCAGATAAAATACTAGGGGTCTGGCCTCGTGGCCCTAACATACATCCATATTAAGCTTCTCCGTACCTGGAGACTTGATCCCTATGTCAGTACAGATGAGCACATAGGTTTGCAGAAGAGTCTGAGGCAGGGTAACCACCAAGGCTTCAAACAGACGCAAGGCAGACACATCGGCCTGCTGCATGATCTCCCCATACACATCTTCATCTGGCAGACATATACACTCCCACAACCTGTGAGGGACGGAGATGGAGAGCACCAAAGAGGAAGAGAACACTATTACGATCCTCATCACGACTATCTGAAATAAATATCATTAAACATTAACAGATTTATATTGTTATTGTCTCCAACCCAACCATTATTGTTGTTACTGGTGGTCTGGACATTATTGATCTTCAACCAATTAAAGTAGTTCACTCTCTTGTAATGCTAAGTGTGGGAAGCTCAAATACTATTCTTAAGGCAGTCTGCTGTTTTCCAGGTAGTTTGTCGAATTGCATAGCTAATCATTTCTTCCTTTCTACAATGGTCAGCAACTTACAGGACAATGTACAATTAAAACCATAATTCAAATGATAATTTATGGCCAGCTCATTAGCCACCTTCAGACAACATTCAGTATTAGCAATCAAGCACTTCCTAGCTTAAGGATATAGTAATGGCTAGGAAGTGTGGTGAATGCTTAAAAGGTTGCTGTAAAACGGGAGCTAATGGGTTATTACATTTTTAGTTTGAACCTGAAATACAGCTTGAAGATGTTATGGATTTTCATCATTGTGTATATTCCAGTTTCTGATCAAATTATAACTGTGGAAAGAATAATGATTGTTCTGATTTCCCATGTTCTTACCACTTACAGCTTAAGACACACGGAAAAATTAAAGCATGACGTCAGAGGAAAAAGGCCACCATGTGAATAAGTACATTTAATCCTCCCCTTTTCATATCGCTATCACACATAAAGTTGTCTCACCTTTTGAAGATACCAAGGTGTAGTATGTGTGTCCAGGTGAGAGACTTCCTGCGGATGCGTCCATCTGACAGGTACCACAAGTAACTGAGCCACTGAGGACCCCAACCTGAGAAACACACAGAATTAACCATGGATATCAATCAGTCCAGCTCTCCATCTCTCCATCTTTGTGACTGTTTCTATTGTTTCTCTCACCTGGCAGCAGGAACAGCGCAGTGAAGCCGGCAAGATGGGCATAGCAGTAGTTGTGACCAGTCCAAAGATAGTACACAAAGCAGTAGATCACTGTGGATAGATGGAAAACAAAGAGACACATACAAATACTTAGAAACACATTTATAATCATGTATAATGTTAGATGTCAGAGATGTATTTGTGATGCTAATGAACACCTGAATCTTTCTCAAAAACACATGGACAGGTAACTACAGTGCTGAAATAAGCCACATATTTAATCCAGCTTTTTATAAAACTGACTTAAAACTTCTACTTAACTATAATATACAATCAAATGTCTAAGGAACTTTTTAATTCTTTGCATCTTTTCAGGCAGCGATAGTTAGGCTGTTTAAAATTCTGCACACAAAATGTAGTATCTCTTAAGAAATGATGCATATTGACAGAATATACTGATAATTAAAATACCTGCACTACATCCAGTAGCGACATAAAAATGTTAATGCATCATTGAAAAAATCAAAATATAAAAAGCCTTAAATATATAATAAACCTGAAAAGAGTATTTCTGCTGTATAATAGGTACACATTAATTTGTTATATATTTACTTTTGATACTTTAAGAACAAGTAGCCTAATATGTTATAAACCAATTAAGTAACATTTCGATCAGTTAGGGCCTACATGATAAATCTTTTAAGACTCAGGTATTTCATTGACTTCTTCTACACCTTGGGAAGAAAAACTAAGTGTATTGGGAGAACACCACCATCACCATCACCATCAAATGTTTAAGGTGTATACAATAAGCCCCATAGCCTGTTACAGGTTTCCCTGTCCTGGAATAGCTAAGGACAGACAGGCAGCGTTTACCATGATACTGCATAGTATACTGTATTGTTTACATCAGGACTCAAAATAGCAGATGAACAGAAGTGTGTAATTTTTCGAGTATCCACACTTTTTTCTCACATGACCTCTGCTCTTCACTTCCTCCCCTCAAGCCTGGTTTTATCAACAACAACAACGCTGCTAATGTCTCCTCTCCCACTCTCCATTTCACGCAGATTGAGGCCCTGCAGCTCTGCCTCCATCCCTGCAGCTCTGCCTCCATCCCTGCAGCTCTGTAATCTGAACCATTAGAACTGCAAAACGGGCGGGCTGTCCGGGCAGAGTAGGCCCCCATCCCGGGGTACGCCCATCCCCTCGTCCATTCATGCACCTCCAAGAAAAAGAGCGCGCTTGAAGATTACAGCATAGCTCTGTTTTGTTTTTAAATCAAGTACCCTTACACAGAAATAAGAATATCGCAGTTAAAAGGAATCTAAAAAACTCTTGCATCATGAGTCTGCAGTTTTGCTGCATACTTGTTTCATAACATGCAGCGAGCAAAAAATAGTAAAAAGGCGCAGTAGTGCTGACTGCAGACTCTATTATTCATGACAACAGAGCGCAGACAGCCGCTGAAGTGGAGAGCAATGCACAACTTTGTATGTAGTTGTATGTTGCGTTACGGTAGATGTTCTCACAGAGCAACGTGACGTTAAAAAAAAAAAAAAAACACTGACTCATTAGGAAGCATCCCTCTCCTGTAGTCCTTACACGCAGTGCATCCATATACTGTAGTCCGTAATGCACGCACACGCCAATAAAGTCAAATAACACATCTCACCAGAGGACAAACTAGCACATCATCAAAATCGTGTTTACTATGTAGGTGCAGGCTCTATGTGTTCATATGTGTCTGTAGGTGTCCCAGGTAGGACTCACCTGCCGTCCTCTCCGCCACCACGAGAAATGCGGTAAAGACGAAGACGCACACTTGGCAGCATGGCATGCAGGCGCCGCCGTTGCCCGGGGCGGCTGAGTAGTCTCTCATGGTGGGTGAAGACCTTTACTGAAGACTGACTGTGATAACACTATGTTAGTCTGTAGGCCGGGTTTGTCCTGGTCCCGTGTGCTCGGGAGTTGGTCCAGCTGCGGCAGACTGCTCTCTCTCCTCCGTGTCCCCCGTCCTGACAACCCCGCCCGTCCCGTTAAAGAGATAGCACTGCAGACAGACAAGCACCTGAGATAGACATCTTAGAAAGGCAAAATGCGACTATCATGTAGACTGCTTATAAGATAAGACAAGTCTGATCTGAAAGATAGGCGCATGCCAATGTGGTTCCAAACAAGCCAAATAGAAATGTGTGTTTAATAGTCGTTTAGTTTTATTGTCTCTCACTGACTGCTGTACCCTTTGTTGTTCTGACAGACCTATTTTCTACGGAAGACTATAAGGGGCCACTGTAAAACATTTTTTTTGTTTTGACATTTTCTGTTTTGACTCTCAAAATGATGGGTAAAAAAACCAAACACATTTCTTGGGTACTCTAGTTGATAACCCAGCGTCTGAAAAGTTGTGATCAGGTCAAATGAACCAAAGCAGAATGTGATGATTTGCACAAACCCATAGCCTATTTGATTCAAAATAGCTCAAACAGAACATGTCAAATGTTGAAACTGACTAATGTCATTGTTTTCGGATAAATACAAGCCCATTTTGAATTTGATTCCGACAACATGTTTATAAAAAGTTGAGATAGTTGCAACAAAAAACACTTAAAAGATGTTGTGAAATGTAAAAAAAAAAAGAAAACGCTTGATTAAACATCTATAGGGTTAACTGGCAACAGGTTTGTAACGTTATTGGTTGTAAAAAAAAAGGTCATCCCAGGGAGTCTTAGTGAAGTAAAGAAAGGGAGGGGTTCACCCCTCCATGAAAGACCGCCCTGGTAAACACTACAATAGTGCAAGAATCTGGAAGTTTGTATCTTCTACAGTACTTACCATTTAAAGATTCAGATATGAATACATCTCTGTGGGGTAAAAAGGCAAAATCCAAGTGATATTTGAGCATTATTACCAAACTCAATTCTTTAGCGGACATTACTGGCTCAGGATCACTTCCAAACACCATTGTCTGTGAACACAGGTCATCCCTGCATCAACAAAAACAGGCAGAATGAGCATATAGGTTTCCAAAAACAATTAGATTTCTCATTTTCAACATTTAACATTTTGACTTTGTGCTATTTAAGATCAAATAGGAGTTTCAAAATTTTGCAATTCATTACATTCTGTTTATATCTAGCCTATGTATGTATATATGCATGTATGCCTGTATAGCCTACTGTATATAGGCTATATATATATATAGACTATATATATATAGACTATATATACGCTTGGGGTTCAAATCCAAGAATCTCCCTCAGAGAGTGTTAGTATAAAGAGGACTTTCATCAAAAAAGTTAATTTTTCAATCTTTTTTACTTTACTTTTTTACTTTTTACTTTCACCATTTTTGCTTGTGAGTGAGATAGCTAAAGACAAGTTTAGTATGGGTTCAAATGAGTCTGTTTGTTGTACTCTACTTCTCTATTCTTGTACATATGATGAAGTGTGAAATGTATTTAAAAATAAACATGACTTCAGATGTTGCTGAGAAAAGATTGCACTCTCTCATGGCTCGCGCTTTTGGTGCTCTGTGGATCAGTGTGTAAATGTGGTGAGGATGGGTAGGCGTGACCTGCGGTTTAAAAAGCACTTTTTAGTATACACTTTACCATGTTTTTTTAACACCTTCCCCCCCCCACACACACACACAGACCTCACAATTATGAGAACAGTCCATCCTCTAATTTAGAAATGTTGGCTGTTTTGTTCCTTTATGACATCACAAAGGGCAGTAAACCTTACCCAGGTGGGTGAAACTCACTAGCCCTGGAACTTATTTAAACTTCCTGCAGGTGAACTTTGAGTTGGTGGTGAAGGTTGAAGCTGCAATTGGCTAATTCTTATTACATGGAAAGTATACAAAATATTTGAATTTGTGGAAATGCACTAATAAAGTTGTGCATACTAAAGCTCTTATGTCTGTTGTCTATTGCCATGGCAACTTGTCAACTATGAGCTGTATGTATCTCTAAACTCTACTAATCTTCACAGCAGATGATATACATCAGATAAAACATGTCCAAATACACAGAGAAGAATTCATTCATTTTAATAAGAGACCATACTAAAAAAAATATACACAGGAACAAATAGGTTTATTCTTTTTTTCCAGCACATTAACACATGAGGCAAACAAACAAAGTCAGCATGATCCTCCTGAACATGATAGCTGGATGTCCTTTTATGCAACAACCATAAGATTTGTTTGTTTATTCCATTCATATTTTATCAACAACCACAGCCATGTGTTTTAAAGTGTGCATTCACTGTATCTTGGGTTGCTGAATGACAGCAGAAATAGCACCAGTATATGTAAATCCATTTAGCATTGAGCTGATATCTCTCCTACTTCCATTTTCTCATTGTTCATGTGGGATTTCTCTTCTGATTGTCTCAGCATTTCAAACCAAAGCAACGACACATTTTTACCATTAGTGAGTCATCAACCTGCGAACAACTGCAGCATTATATCTTCTCCAAGCCCCCCTCCTATTTCTCTTTACTAGCTCAATGTTTGTCAAAAGCACCTGTTAAAAAGATATAAAATCCCTCAAAGAGTTTTGCAGCTGCAGTTCTGTTCTTTACGTCAGTGGTCGCAAATCCCACTGAAGTCTGTGCTTTGTATGTCTGTTATGTCTTTTCCAGGCATAAGGAAATTCCTCTTCTTCAGTATCCTTTCTTGTTAGAGGACCGAGCCATGACGACTCACATTAGTCCTGTTGTTTGTATCACTTCAGTCAGTGCAGTCAGTAACATTTTGATCTGTTTTTGGATCTCCTAAATTTATGTTTTATTTGCTAATTTCATCTGCTGTTTGTCTCATTTGTTCACCTCTTTATTCATCTTTCCTCCATCTCCTCCTGATGTCCTCCTGATGTCCTCCTGATGTCCTCCTGATGTCCTCCACCTTCTCCTGATGTCCTCCTGATGTTCTCTCTGTTTGTCAGTAATACCTGTTGAGGCTTTGAGTGACTGTACTTATGTCTGGTTGGCCGTTCATCCAGATCTCTCTGAGAATCCGTTCACGCTCTTCTAGCCGCTGGGCCCTGTCCAGCTCTGTAAAATAAACACACACACACACACACACACACACACACACACACACACACACACACACACACAAAACACAAAGAGGGTTAAATTACACTTATACAGTGTCCGTTCATATAACCATCAAACTTGACATCACTATGGAGAAGACTTTCGATATTTATTCTGTGTGTGCAAAGAAAACTTCTCCTGCTTCTATATTGTAACATTTAAACGTCTTTTAAACGTTATTAATGATAAAGGCCTAACTGTGTGTGTCCGTGAGAGATACCCTCAGCTGATGTAAACATGGTGGCATGCAACAGAGCTCTCTCAAAGCGTCTGCGTCTCCGTGCCGACAGGTCGGAGGTTTCATCCCAGTCCTCTGATTCGCTGTCCCCTGCAGGCCCCGCCCCTCCAGAGGTCACCACGGCCATGTTATCAGGGTTACTGTCAATAGGCTGATGGTGGGGACAGTTGTGATGGCGACGGTGATGATGCCTGTGTCTGTGGCGACGATGAGCGTGTTTACTGTTGCCATAGTGACAGTCTGCTCGGCAGTGTATCTGGAAGACGATGGCACAGAGTGTGACAAGGAGGCCAACGCTGACTCCGCCCAGAAATACCAGAGCTGTCCTCTCAGGCTGATCTAAGGAGTCGGTGGAGAGCAAAGTGAAAAAAGTTTTCAATACATTGAAGTGTGATACTGACTTGATTTCAGCTCTAAATACTGAGAAATTAACTCACTGTCAGAAGGAAAACCAGTGTTGTCATCTCGATATAACTCAAAACAGAAATGTACTTGTTATCACGGGAAAATGGAGAAAAAAAATCAATGTATGTCCACTTAGGGCTTCCGTAGTTTTGTTTTTAACAGCTCTATACTTTTCATCTTGTTTGTATTTGATAGTCTAACATTTTTGTAAAACCTGGCTCATTTCACTGCAGGAATCCTAACCTAAAAAACTAAACCTATAACACCAAGAAAAAAATCTAAGCTAACATTAGCAGCAGAAAAGAGCTAGCCCACAACCATGCTGTATTTGCTTACTAAGCATCAGAACAGCAAGGCCTTTTCTATTTTTACATTTTAACCTTTTAATATATTTGTTATATGCTTCTGATTTTATGACTTGCCTGTTTTATTTAGCTTCTTAAATAAAAAGTATTATTTCTAATATTTTATCTTTAAATTCATTTTAATGGCCTTCTGCAATATGTGGGATTGAAACACTGACTGTTTTTTAGTCAGTATTAAAGACATTTCCAATACCTGCAATAAAGGTGTAGGCTGCCAGTATGTTGCTGATCATTGCCATCTCCTTGGAGCCCACCTCCACCTCCATATTTGGGCTTCCTGTTGTCGGAGTGCTCATTATTTCCCAGGGAGTTGACCTTGTTGTATTGTCCAATAAAGATCAGTGGAGCTCATACACGATCCCCCTAGATCACAGGTTTTAGGGGTAGGGGTGGGGCAGAGAGGACAGAAGTAAGAAAATAAAGAGGAAAGAAACAAGGGAAAAAATAAAAGTCAGTGATTGTGTTGAAAGGTAACTCAGGTTTTTATATGTCCTTGGTACTGGACTCTCAGTCAGAGTGGAACCAACCATGCTCATTAAATGTCCAGCCAGGGTCATGTATCAATGATGAAGTGTGATGAAAAAAATACAGTCTTGGAAAGAGGTAAATTATCAGTCATTAATACTAATGTATAGCTAACATGTGTCACATATGGAGACAAAATAAGTTAATTATATAATTAGAAGGTTTCAAAGTCTACCTATCACTTCTTATTTCTCCTCTTGTTATAAACATGCCTGAGATGTTAGCCTGCAGGGTATACGTAAAAGTAAAGGTAATCATAACCGAGAATCTTCTTCAGTCACATAACAATATCCAAACACAAAACTATAAAAATAGTCATTATTCACACCCAAGCACACATACTTTAGGTGTGAAGCATATTGTATTGCAGTAGCAGTAATATATAAAAAAACAAATAAACAAGCACCAATACAGATTAATTTACAGACTTTCACAAAGTGAAAACTTTAGGAGAGTTTCTGGAAATTGAAGGAAACAAAAAATAGGGGACAGAACAAGATTTCCGAAGGAGTAGTAAAGTGCCTTTCAAATGAAGCAGAAGAAAACACAAAGAGATTAAACATTCTAGGGAAAAAGAGAGGTGAGGAAGTCAATCACGGCTTTGACTTAGATTCTAAGTTAACCACTAGGTGGCAACAAAATGCAATCAGTCAAGAGGCTTTAAATAGATTCACTCTCATTTAAATGATGTTGACCTTGCTGGTGGACATAAACATTATCCTTCTTTTAAATGTCTTAATTCTCAGTGATTATTTTTGGCATTAAAAAAAATAGGGACGTTGTCCTAAATGTTCCTATCAATAGGATGTTGCATCCATTACTCAGTTTAGAAGAATCCATTTTTAAAGTTATCATTAAAATATGAGGATATTTTTAGGCATCTTGTCCTGTTCTTTCCTTGGAACTGTGATGTGTTTTGTTTTAGCAGGTATGAACATACCACACCATGTATTACCAACTCTTATTTGTGACAGCCAGGTTAAATGTAGGGTAGAGCAAAGTAGTTCTATACAGTATTGTGTCTAGACATGTAGCCCCACACCCAGACTGCTGGAAGTCCCCACACACACTCAGGATTATATCTATAGTGGAAGTGTGTTACCTATTGATGGATCAGGTGTACACATCTTTATATATTTAGTATTCAGTTTTCTCAAAGGTGGAAGGATGGTAGAGGGAGAGAGAGAGATAGAGAGAGAGAGAGAGAGAGAGAAAAGGGTTCTGAGTAGAACAAGATGAGCATGGGAAGACAGGAGTCTCATCTGTTTATTTTCTTTGCCTGATCTGTTAATCTTGAGAGCTGCCTTATGAGACATATTGAAAAATCTGTTCATGTTTATATCTTGTGAAATCGCTTCCCAGAGTGTTTCTTTATGTTCCATCCTACAAGAGTTGAAAACATTTCAAATACATGGAGCTTTAGAGAAGTTTGACTAAATAGCATGCTGGTGTCTTTAAGTGATAATAACATCAGTGCCTTAACTATTCCTCCAGGAGCTTTTCTTACAATAAATCTGGATGAAGAAAAAAGGTGACATGGAAGTAAAGACAACACTTACTTCATTTTCCTCTGAAGTTAATTTGCATTGGCTTATCATAGATTCAATTCACCTCAATACATCAACCAATACAACACTAAGTACCCGAGACCAGAGGTTCCCAAACTTATCAGCCTGCCACCCCCCAAAGTAACAGAGCTAGAGACGGTGGACCCCTACGATTTATCATTTCATAATTTTTTTAATTTCATCATAAATATCCCTCAACAATTATGGTTTTATTTTCAATTGAACTTATTTTTGAATATATTCTCACAGTAATGGGTAAAATATCCAATCTAAAATAATTTCACATCTCCCGACCCCCTTTCAGTCTTGTTCCCCCAGGGGCTCCTCGCCCCCACTTTGGGAACCAATGCCCTAGATGACAACAAATCAATGAGAAAGGAAGATCTCAAATACTGCACAACCCCTGTGTCATTAT